CCAAATAAAATAGTTACTTGGTTTTCTGGGGCATCAAAAGTTATCAGATATCTTTAACTTCCATGTATTTATATAGTTTTGAGAGTTTCTCTTGGAGTTGATTTCTAGTTTTAATCTACTGTGGTCTGAGAAGGTACTTGATATGATTTCTATTTTTAAAAAAAATTTAATGGAGACTTGTTTTGTGGCCTAACATATGGTCTATCTTGGAAAATAGTCCTTGTGCTTAAGAGAAGAATGTGCATTCTGCATATTTTGGGTAGAGCATTCTGTGAATGTCTTTTAGTTCCATTTGTTCTAGAGTCCAATTTAATTCTAGTGTTTCTTTTTTGATTTTCTGCCTTAATGATCTGTCTAGTGCTATCAGTTGAGTGTTGAAGTCCCCCACTCTTTTTGTATTGTTGTCTATCTCTTTTCTTAGGTCCAGTAGTATTTGCTTTGTGAACCTGGGAGCTCTTCTTGTTGAATTGATCCCTTTGTTATTATATAGTGACCTTGTGTTTTTTTACTGTTGTTGATTTACAGTCTATCTTACCTGATAAAAGAATAGCTCCTCCTGCTTGCTTTGGTTTACATTTGCATGGGATATTTTTTCTACCACTTAACCTTGAATCTATAAAAATTTTTACAAGTTATGTGTGTCTCTTAAAAGCAGCAAATATTGCACTGTGTTTTTTATCCATTCTGCCAAATTTATATTTTTTAAGTGGGGCATTTAGACCATTTACATTCAAAGTTAATATTGATATATGAGATACTGTTTCAGTCATCATTTAGATTGTTACCTAGTTGTTTTGTTTTCTCAATTGCGTTACTGTTTAATAAGCTCTGGCAATTTTATACCTTCAGCTGTTTTTATACTGGCATGTAGCAGCCTTTCATTTTAATGTTTAGAACTCATTTCTTGTAGGGCTGGTATAGTGATGACAAAGTCCCTTAGCATTTTCTTTAGGGAACTTTATTTATACTTCATTTATGAAATTTAGTTTTGTGGGATGCAACATTCTTGGCTGACAGTTTTCTGTTTAAGAAAGCTAAAAACAGAACCTCAGTCCTATCTGGCTTGCACGGTTTCTGCTGAGAAGTCTGCCATTAGTCTGATAGGATTTCCTTTGTAAATTGTTTGATACTTTTGTCTCGCTGCTCTTAGGATTTTTTCCTTCACATTGACTTTAAATAATCTGATGACTTATGTGCCTTGGTGAAGGACTTTTTGCAATAAATCTTCCATAAGTTCATTGAGCTTCTTGTATCTGGATGTCTAAATATCTAGGAAGCCCAGGGAAGTTTTCCTCAATTATTCCCTCACGTAGATTTTCTTTTGCTTTTTCTTCTTCTCCGCCAGGGATTTTGTTCATTTCTTTTAATTTTTTTCTTTAGTCCTGTCTGCCTGGGTTAATTCTAAAGCCTTGTCTTCAAGCTCTGAAATTCTTCTTCTGCTTGATCTAGTTAAAACTTTGCACTGTATTTCCACTATATTTTGTAATTCCCTAAATTAGTCTTTCATTTCCAGAAGTTCTGTTATGTTTTATTTTAAATACCTATCTCTTTAGTGAATTTTAATTTATGTTCTGATTATTTTTTTGTTTGTTTCTTTGTGTTAATTTTTAACTTTCTTGGATCTCATTGAGCTTACCTACAATCCATGTTTTGAATTCTTTATCTGTCATTTCAGAAATTTTCCTTTTCACTTAAATCCATTGCTGGAGAGCTAGTGTGATCCTCTGCGGGTGTTGAAACAGTCTGGTTTTTTTCATACTGCCGAGTTCTCATGCCAATAGTTCCTTCTCATCTGGACACGTTCCCGCTTTTTATTTTTGAATTTACTTTTGTTTGGATGGGACTTTTTTATTCTTTTGTTATTTTATTTTATTTTCCCCCTTTGAGGGTGTGAGTGTATTGTATGTTGTGTTTGGTTGTTTGGATTTGATTTTGAGAGCTTTCAGGGGGCCAAGGTCTCTGTATGAGTTGCTGGGTTGCCTTTGCATGGTGGCTTTCTCAGAGACTGATCGTGGTAGAGATGTACAGGTTATATGAGTGGCCTTGCTACCTTCTGCAGTATTGGAATTATAGAGGTCTCAAGTAGTTTATCTCATTCTCCAGCATTATGCTCTTCTGACAGCAGGTATTAAGTTGGGTTGTGTTTTTCAACCTCCAGGGCCAGTAGGTGGCACTTTCGAGTAAGAGCCAGCTGTAGCAGAATCCAGCAGGTAGGTGTTTAAACTTTGTTTACAGTGAGGGGTTCTCTGTTGTCTCAGGTGATGGACTGGTCTGTGGCAGGAAAGCAATCTCCTTCCCTATTATGCCCCTGTCCTGGGGCTCATGACTCCCAGTTCAGTCAAACCCTTTCATATATCTCTAGGCCACGGTGTCTCTGAGAGCTGCAGAAAATGCCTTTCCTGCAGCTCTCTGCCTAAATAGTTTTAGAGCAGAACTTCTTTCCTCAACCCAAAACAGACAGCTTTGTAACTCACCTGTTCTCCTCTGTGGGGAACACCACTTCTCTGTGTAGACAGACAGAGGTGCACTTCCTTTTGGCAGGTGCAGGTGAGTACCCACTGTGGTGTTGCTGACAATTTGGGTCTACCGTACCTCAGACCTCTGGGAGAGTGTTCAGGTGCCACAGATACTAGACTACGTTAGGAAATCCTAAGGCTCTAGGCCCTTGGACAGCATGCTTGAGTCCTAGGGGGGACCAGACCAAGACCGGGTTGGTGAACTTGTCCTCAGGCCTCCTTGGGTTCAGGCACTGGCTGGATAGAGAGGGGTGGGGTGATCTGATCCAGAAGAATGCTCAGGTAGGGGAAGGACTGATGTATTGCCAACCTGCCACTGCGCAGGGTGAGCCCCTCTCATGGGATTAGCAAAGGCAGGCAGCTGTGGGGCCCACAGGCTGCTCACACCTCCCTCCCTCTGCAGTGCCAGAGGCCTCTGTCCTTCAGGGTCACAAAAGTGCCTGGATTCCCAGCTCCCTCCTTGGCCTTGCAGCAGGGATGGTGGTGGAGGCAGCTCAAACCATTGGGAACTGAACTCCCAGAATGGTTGCGGGCTGCAACTAGAATGCTCAGGCAGGGGAGAGGAAGTTGTGCCACAGACTGGCCTCTAGGGAGGGCAGGTTCCTCTCAGTAGAGGCAGGCAGCTGGGGGTGCAGACTGCTCACCTTGCTTTCCCTCAGCAGTGGCAGCACTGAGGACGTGCAAAAAAACCTACAAAAGTGCTTGCCCCTCCTGCCCGCTCCCTCAGTGGCCCTGTGGTTGTGGTGGCAGCCACACAGGTGGTATCCCCAGAGCAGAACAGAGACCTCTGGGGACTGGGCTCTCTGAATGCCTCAGGGCTCAAAAGCCTGTGGGGCTCACTCTCGAGCAATGCTTCTGCATTCCCTCTAGGAAGCCACTTGCTTTAGTCTGGAGGCCTGCAAGGGCTAGGAGGTTCTCCTGTAGCTAGGATTTTAAAAGTCCGTGGGAGGAGTGCAGAAACCCAAGAATCTCTCACTCACGCCTTACCCCCATCAGGGATCTTCTCTTGTCTTCCTATCAGTCCCAGCCAAGCAGGGTGTCTGGCTTTGCTCTTCTCTGCTTTCCAATCTGTGTCACTTCTCTAGTGGCTTTCTCTATTCTCTCTTAGACTATCTATTCAAAGCATGAATATCCACTCACTAATTTTGACCCCTCTCTGTGGGAGAGGTACGCACTAGTTGCATCTTGAGCCAAGCGTTCTAAATGTAAATTTAAATAGCCATATGTGACCCGTAGCTATTGTACAGCACAATTGCTGAAGAATTTATAGCATCAGAAAATGTACCAAGTAAATGCACTAACCCATGGGATTCAACATTCTAAATACCTCCTTTCTGTAATGGGCCAAATGGTACTTAGAAATAATGCAGCATCATTTTTGATAGATGTTAAGATGGTCATCAAAAAAGAGAAAAAAATCAACATCCACCTAAAACATTTATAATTAATAATAGGGATTATTCTCTAACCTATGCTAGGTTATTTATGTATCTGCTTTACAGATATATCATCTATTATTTTCACAAGCATTCCAAGTTAGATTTTTTTCCCATTTCATATAAGACAAACCAATTTAACATAACAAACCCAAGGTCCCACAGCCAGTAAGTAGTGGCGCTAGATTCTGAACCCAGGGAGGGTTCTTCACTGAGGCATCTCTCCATGAACCTTTCCCACAGAGTCTTCCAGAGCACTGCGCATGTTTCCCTAGTTATCACTGGGAGACAGGGCAGGACCAAGAACATGAACCCTGGCACCACACTGCCTGATTTCAATCCTGCCTGCCTCTACTACTTACCACCTGTACAAATTTGAGGAAGTTATTTAATATCTCTGAGCCTCCATTTCCTCATTTTAAGGTGAAAATTATAAACATACCCATTTCATCAGACTGGATTAAATAAGTTAAGATGCCTGGCGCACTATTTGAACTATCTGTATTTGCCGTCATCATTATTTCTAATTTGAAAGGCACTGCCATTTATGTTAGGATGTTGATTTGATATGATGTTAAATGAAATAGGGACATACTTTGGGTATGCTTCCCTGGGAAATAAGAGAGACTCTAATAACTGAGATAATTCAGGAAGAAATACCCTGCTGTTCAGCCACTTTGGTGTCTCCATCACTAGGATTACAAAGTTTCAGAGCCCACGAGCTGTGGCCAATTCCTCCTATCTTTCCTTTTCATGTTACCCTTATAGATATCTCCTTTGGTGTCTTTGATTGGTTCTGAATGCTGAGCAGTGACAAGCACCAACACAGCTGGAAAGGGCTGTAAGATTCACTGTTCTGTCTTCCAGCAGGGAATTATTGCCATGGATACCAGTATCAGAGGAAGACTGGGGAACACTCTTCACTTGCCTCCTGAATGTCTGACAGCTGTTTCTGGCAAGGCCAATAATGAGTGTGCTACTGGCTTTATATGAGACGAGAGACTGATCTACAGCTCTTTTGTTTTGTTTTGTTTTTGTTTTACCACAGATGGCCTCTGCCCAAGATGCCAGGTATGGCCAGAAAGACTCCTCTGATCAGAATTTCGACTACATGTTCAAATTGCTCATCATCGGCAATAGCAGTGTGGGGAAAACGTCTTTTCTGTTCCGTTATGCAGATGACTCCTTTACATCTGCATTCGTCAGCACAGTTGGGATCGATTTCAAAGTAAAAACTGTATTCAAAAATGAAAAAAGAATCAAGCTTCAGATTTGGGTAAGTGGCTTTGAACTGGCAGTGTTCTTCAGTCCAGGGTAATGACATGTAAGTGTGTAAGAGAAAAACTTTCTGCCTTGCTCTGTTCCCATGGCGTTCGTAAGCCTCAGTTTCCAGCTTCTTTGCTGCAGAACATTGTGTTCCAAAGATAGTGGGAGTGATACCTCTTTAAGATGTGGAGACCGAATTACTATGTCTCGTTGTCAAGTTTTGCTTTTTAAGAGTCTTCAGAAGAAAAAAAATCCAACCTCTATCTCTTTGGTGGTGGAAGAAACACTCAATGAGATGTCTGGCTCTGCCTTCTGTGATCTGCGTGACCCCGAGCAAGTCTGTGAATCTTTCTATGCCACTTTTTTGTAATCTATAAAATAGGCAAAGAAGATCTGGCCTTTCAGGTTACAGGAAGCAACCTGCCCTGGGCATTTTAAAAAAGAAGGTGAACAACCAAATATAAGGAAAGCTTAAGTTTAGACCCTTCCTAAAGCCCCATATATAACTTTGAACATAGTCTATTTATACTTTGCAGATTTTGTGTCTTCAGCTCTAAGAGCTGTGCTTATCTATACACTCAAATAAAATAAAACAAATGATACAAAATATTTATGTGAAACATGGTCTTCCTTTATAGTAGATTCTCCACAAGTTTTGAGACCATTTGGCTAGTTTTCTGCCTCTACGTACCCCCAGAAGAAGAAGATCAGAGGTTCCGTAACTAAATGATTGGGGTAAATTTAAAAGACCAGTGAGCAAGAAACAGAAGAAAAATGTATGTGGGCAATAGATCCAAGGTAATATAAGAGATGAAGTAACCAAAAAGACTTGACTTTATGTAGTCAATATTTTATGGACATTGTAATATGTACATAGAATGTTTCAATAGTCAGTTTTGGCTCCTTTTTCTGTTCATTTGTACCCCTGCCACTCAGATTGATTTAACGTGTAATTAGGCATTTCTCAAGAGGTATTTCCTACCTCCTTCTGAGATGTTTCCAACAACTACCTCCATTTGGTGCCGGTGCCAGGATTAATTTCTAGGACTAATGATAAACCTCCCTTCTTAGATACGGAATGTTGAAAGACAAAATCCTAGAGTGCAGCATTTAAACTTATTTAAAAAATAAAAGAGCCCTTCACTAAAATATCTACATAGACTGAATGGCCTTTAAACCTTTTACAGGTCTTATTAAAATAGATATTTAAAGTAAAATTTAAAAATGCAGACATATTCATAGACAGGTGTCCTCTTATGTAGTTTACAATAGATTGTTATTGTTTTACTTTTTCTAACTCTGGAGTCTTCCGAGTCTAATTAGAACTCACATAAAAATTTGGACAAGTAGGCCCTGGGCTGGGCATCTCCACTGCTCTACCATTTCCCAAAGCCATTTTTGCTGGGAGGGTCCCTCTTTAGGAACTTGACCTCAATCAATGTGGCTACCAGTCACACACTCCTGTGTATGGAGACAGAAGGATTCATTGCTTCACATCTGGGTCCCGGTTCACTCTTTTTCTTTTGAGCTTCAGGCAACCAATTGTCTTATGATAAATTTCATATTAAGGTTTAAGAAAGGGCCCTTAAATCTCAGAGGCTTTGGTGAATTGAAAATTAAATTAATTTGGTAACTACACATCTCTTAACTCTATGACAATGTTCTTTCTGCTAATATGAAAGAACAATCACTCTCGTAGCTGACAACTCATAGTTTCTCCTCTCTTCTTTGTGTCTTAGAGGTATTTAAAAATGGTTGTTGTAGTCATTTAGATAAAACGTCAACGTGATGTGATGATGTGTTAAGCCAGTCTTATAATTTCTAGCAATTTTTCAATTTAGGTTTTTGACAGTTGTTGGAGTACAAAATCATCTGTCCTTAATGTAAACCAGATATATTTCGAATAACATAAATTATTTCTCATGCTCAAAAAATATTTTCCCTAAAACAATGCTGATACTAGGCCAGAGCTAATTCATTCACCTTTTTTGGGCACTGAAATAAGTTATTTCTGTCTATGTCTTATTTCCGGATGAATGTGGCTCTTCTCTCAGCCAACCAAACTCTCTGGCATATCATTCTTTTCAAGTTTGCCTCTGATCTTCCATAATCCACCATTTTTCTAAAACCTTCAGGGCTCTTCACAGCCACTCCAACCTGGGACCTCATTCCAGGGCCTCCATTCTCCTGCTCTGTGGACACCCAACTCCCGTCAGAGGTCAGACACTGGAAATCCATAACTTTCCCTCTCCTTAGTCACAGCAGTAGTTTAATGACCATTAATATCATCACAATTAAAACATAATCTCATTTCTTTCTCTTTAGGTACATTAAGTGCTCCTAAGGCATATATGATTCTGGGGGTGTGAAAATTAGTTTTACACAACTGTATAAACAACTGGCCTAGAAGATTGTGAGACATTCAAAAGAAGTACCAGACAAAGATTTTGTGCTTGTTGAACTTGTAGTATAGTTGGAGAAAGAAATTAACATTCATAATTATGTACTTCTGCAAGAAAATACCAAATTATAAAAATATCATACATAGACAGCATTTATTAAATAGATATTAAAATACCGTATGCTAGGCCTTATCTATACCTCATCTCTAATTCTCACAACCACCCAACTTTGTATTTTTATTATTTCTATTTTACCTGAGAAATCTGAAGATGGGACAAGTTAAATAACTCATTTAGGGTCACACATGGGAAGTGGCTAAGAGGACATTTCCAGGCTAGGTCTAATGATTCTAATGCTGAGCTTGTACCCCTTCACCATGCTGCTATAATTAAGAAGAAGTCTTGAATATGGTATTGGTTCTGTGAAGATGGCAATCTTGGGTGATGCATTTGGGATGTTGAAAAGATGTTGAAAGAGGTGATCATCACAGTGAATTAAGTCATGTGGGGGAGGATATAATAAGGAGTGGTATGCTTAAGTGTAGGCATTCCTGTAATAGTTCTAGGGATCCTAGCTTTATGCAATAATATAAGCGTGCTGGAAAATATTTAGTTATGTATAGTTATGATTGTTTAACAGCTTTGACAAGCTGTTATATTATTTGTTATATATAATATATTCCCATATATTATTTGGGGATATATTTAACACTGATAGTTGGTCATCTCATTGTGTTTTAATAACCAATTAACTGTTCTTCCCAACTTATAGTATTCTTATGCACTTCTATTAATGTGTAATTAATTAATTAAGATGTCCGCATCATCTTAGGCTGTTATATATTTCAAAACAAAAGAGCAAAATGGTTTCATGGTATGAAAACCATCAAGGATTAGTACACTGTACCATTACCTTTACCAAAACAGGTTTCAGATAGTGATATGATTCAGATCACTCTATTAATTTTAAGCTGCCCATAAATAGAACTGTTTTCAAGTTAGGAAATCAAGACCTAGAGAGATTAAGTGATTTGACCTTACCTCACAGTTAGAAACCAGAGCAGAGCCTAAAATTCAGGTCTGCTGCTACCTGGCCAGTCTGATTTCTACTATACAGTTCACTCTCCAGGTAAGTGTTGTGTTACAAAAATTGTGATGAATCTCACATCTGTGTTGTCAGTCAGTGGAATCCACTAGGCATACAAAGATCAAACTTGAGGCCATATTTCAAGTAGTATGTCTAATATCGGGGGGAAGAGCCTGGATGGGAAGGCTCTCCTGTTTTTCACTTGATGGTTTGCTGTTTTTCCATGTGCTGCATAGGGATTTTCTAATTCCACAAACTGAATTACTGAATTTGTGACAGTTCATATTCAAATAAAGCATTTTAACAGCTACTAGACACATTGACATCTCTTTCTTGACATGTTATGCCTCCTCATTGTAGAAGTTCATTACTGTCTTGGAATGAACTTGTTTAGAGAAATATCATCATTCATTTACACTTAGTTATAAACTTTGCATTCCATTGGTATATATTTATAAATCTCTCTATCCTTTATTATATCACTATTTCTTATTACATTTTTATTTTATTATAATTTTTATGATTCTCAAATAAAAAATTTTCAGAACTTTAGCTATTCTAAACATTTGGGCTGGCTCTCTTATTTTTTGCCATTAATGCTATTATGAATATATTGGAGAGAAATTTGGAGTGGTTTTTCACTTTAATTATAGGAAAATATTTCACAGCTGGGATCTATATTTTGCTTCTAATTTAAAAAACAGTTTAGTCTTGAGAAAGGCTATGTTAAATGGATTTTTTTTCCCAAGGAAAAGATTGAAAAATAGTATAGTATCCATTACTGAGAAGAATACCACCAGTATTTATTTTCAGTGTCTAGATTACTAGTATAAGAACTTTGAGGCTTAGAGAAATATTTGCAGACTAAAGAATCCTAACAGTTGTTGAAATTTGACTGTCTGGGTGGCCATATTTGACAGTGTGGTTCCTCTGAGTAAATGACAAATTTCTTTGCTTCAAGAAAGGACAGGGATTTTCTTGTTCATTTGAGTTTACACTGTTCAAATCCAAAACTTAGGATTGACTCTAACTAATGTAAGCCTCTCCAAGAAAACCCACAGCTCAATTAAAGAATGTAGGTTTAAAATGGTCAGGGGCAAGACAGGTGTGGTGGCTCACACCTGTAATCCCAGCACTTTGAGAGACTGAGGCAGAAGGATTGCTTGAGGTCAGAAGTTTTAGACCAGCCCAGGCAACACAGCAAGACCCAATCTCTACAAAAAATGAAATAAATTAGGTGGACATGGTGGTACATGTCTGTAGTCCCAGCTACCTGGGAAGCTGAGCCAGGAGGATCATCTGAGGCCAGGAGATTCAGACCACAGTGAGCTACTGCACTGTAGCCTGGGTGACAGAGTAAGACCCTGTCTGTAAACAATAATAATAATGATAATAATGAAAAGGGCAGGGGCAAGTTGGCAGAGGGGATTATTGTTTCCTTAAGAATTAGAATAAGCTTTATTATTTTTACTTTCTCCTTTTCCTTATTTTTCCTCTCCCTCCGTCCATCTTTCCCCCTTT